CACTTATGTTGTCGAAGACCCTCTTTTTTGCCTTACTGAATGCCTTTGTTTGTTTATCCGTCTTAGGACTGCCTTTTTTCAAGGTTACTGACAACGTTTTATGCAACTTAGTCAGGATACCACGTGTGATAGCAAAACGACATCCAGGTCGCCTACATGTGATCCTAGTAACCATGGCGAAATATAAGTTGTTAAATAAATCTCGGCAAAAGTTTTCGACCGTGAAAAAAAAGTACACCCTAAACGGATAAAAACGAGTAGTATATAACGTTAGGATATAGTGAAATGAGCTCTGACGTGAGAAACCATAAAAGGTGAATAATAAGCCAAGACAAAACCACAGTTAACTATTAACTCGGATAAAACTAAAAAAGAAAGGTAATCTACCGAACGTTCAGATCGAGACAGTTTCTTTTGATCAAAAATGGTACTTTTGTTGTGTAAGAACACAGCAAATGTTGGAGAAGTGCAAATCATTTTAGGACAATACTTCCATTCCGCATAGGCTTTCTACTGTAGTTTTAGTTGTACCAATTCGTCTTATGTTTTTTGTTCTACTTCGAATATCAAGTTTCTCGCAATCTATTTTCTTCCTGTATTAGCCATCAGGGTGTTTGATGTGATATGTGTAAATGACTGTTGCCGATTTGAAAGGAAAACAATTGTATTAGAGCAGTTTAGACGTTTTTGTTCCTAAATCCGTAAATATCTTAGGCCCGTATTAAAATCCTACTAGTAAGATATAACACTGATCGTGTGGGCTGTGTTAACTTGAGCTGACTCACTTCTGCACTAAATCTTTTTTTGTAATTAAATAACTCACTGACACCCCTATCACTAAGTTGTGAATTTAGAAGTTCTATTAATAGGCCTATCCAGGAGGTATTTAGTTAAATTATTTTACTTCGATTATATATTTTTACAATTTAGTACATTGTTTGTTGATTGACAGGAATTCATCATTAAAGAACCAAGTCATTGTTTCTGTTTCTCAGTTGACCAACTTTTATACACAACAGTCATATTTGTTTAATTTCACTAAAACTTTATGTAACACAACTAATGTCATTTGTTTAATACGAAAATCTATGATCGATAGTATTTGGTTGGTAAAATACATAGAGCTCGTAAAGCACTTGTGCAACCTGAATTTACATATATATATATATATATATATATATATATATATATATATATATATATATGTAAATTCTTATTTTATCGGGTCATGACCCTTAACTAGCTATGTTATGCATACACTGTTTACATATCATCATGTTTCTAAACTCGGAAACGTACTTATTTCACACATTTTTCGTATACACCAAGCTCCAAGGCACTATCGAGTCGGTCTGCACAGGATGCACAAATGCCACAATAGACTGAATAATTGTACGCATAATCATCGATAGTAAATAATATGTCTTCTTCTATCTAGTCGATCATAATAGTATGTAAGCTAAATATTCATTTTATGCAATCGGTTTAATTTCTGTTTGAACATTGAATAAAGCAATGTTCGCTATTGACTATTTGTAATCACAGATGTTTTGAAAGACTTTTCATCAACTTTTCGGTAATTCAATATGAGTCAATGTGCAGCGGGTTCATAATGAGTAAATATGTGATTGTCTGTGAGAATTTGTCAAGATAACAAAGCACTAAATAAATGACAATTTGCATAGATTGTTTGAATAGGATGGAATTTGTGTCCAAGACTCCACTGTTAGCCACCATCCATCTTAGCTTATAATCCTTGTGACTTAAGACAATGTCGATAAAATCTGCACAAGATGTACAAACGCCACAAGAAACTGTTCATTTGTAGTCTTAAACATCATTAGGAAGTCTAAAACAACCAATGCATAAGCCAGTGGTTATCTCTACTCAGTAACCAAGTGGACAACTCGATGGTATTTGAAGCGAATGGTACTGGGTTCGAGCCTCGGAGTAAACATCAACCCTGGGATGCGAGTACATCTAAATAACGAGTGCTAAATGGGACGAGACGCCTATCCTGGGTTTCACTGCTAGCCACCATCTATCGCTGTTTACGATGTTTTTAAAAAAATATTGTTTGGATTTCTATTACTTACAATATAATTTCTCGTTTTGTTGATTTCCTCTCACTGTGCTAACTTGATATATGATATAATGAACGTGGGTTGCAGGTCATACGTTAGTGATGACTAACTGACTCTCTATACTCTTCACAATCTTACATTATAGGTTGTTAACTCTTAATTAATGGTAGAGTCGTAACGTGTAATTTTTAAAATGATAAATTGTAGTAATGTCAACTGTGTTAAATTTACGTTGAATGCAATTTTTAAACACAAATTTATTTACATATCGATGATGAACGGCCCTTGCAACTACCAAGATTCAATACGTAACAATTAGTTTCTATGATTTGAAAAAAATGTTTCGTTTCATTAAATAGTTAGGGTTATAGCCTCAGTATTGTTTTTTGAATATAATAATTCACTTTAGAGTTTCTAAAAATTATTTTACTCGAAATGGTTTACAAGGAGATGTATACTTCTTTGGGATTTTTGTAATAATACAGCATATTTATACCAGTCACATTATTTAATGATTTTATCGTAGTGATGATTTATTATGCAGACATTCATAAACATCGAATAATATGGGATTGTATGTATTGTTTTATGCTATAATAATATGTGATTATGTATCCACTTGGAATATTTGACCCATACGTTGTATAAATTAGGTTAAATTACATATCTTGTGTATTTGTTTAATGTTCAATAACCAATCATTCGGGGAATAAATAATCTTTTGTGACCTACAGAAGGTGAATTGATTTGTTTTGGTAAAATAGTTAGGGTTATCATTTCTTATTCAAACAACTAGATTTTGTTTGTACTTTTAACTTATAATGAGTATTTTATTTCTGTAGTTTGAAATTTATTTATCTCTAATAGACACATCTAGTCAAACATGAATAAGATTATGTTTGGGCTTTTCATTTATTTTATGTAAAATACATTCTTGACATTAGATGGTGGTTGCAGGTAGTCGACAGGAAACCCTGGACCCGGGTTTCGTGCTACTTGGCACTCGTCAGCAAGGTGTACCTGTCGACTACCTCCTACCACCATCTAATCTCAATATATAGTGCACGCAGTATCGAGTCACCTAGACTGGTGGCTACATTGCAACATGGTTGATAGCATTCGATCTGCACTAAATAAGGACTTGACACGCATGGCATTGATCACCACTCAGTGATCAATTAATTGTGAATACATTCTTAACATTTTTATTCATCGAAATATCCCATTTTAATCAAATTCAAGAAGAATTACTCAGGATAACGCTTGCATATTATAGTTGTCGCCCTCAAACTAATTTTTATTGTATACTTCTGATTTTTTTATGGCTTGTCAAAATGTTGAATGAATTTAAACCTTTGAGAGTTTAGAAAGTTTTGTTCTAGGTGTGTAATAATAATAAATTGCTTTTATATTCATTTTTAATCGTTTCATAATGGAAATTATGAACATGGAAAAACCATAACTTAGTTTCTGTTTTCAGAATTATCATAACTATAATCATTATTTCAATAGTTGAGATCATGAATCAATTGAAGCTAGACCACCATGGAAAACCTGGAAGCACTGGATAGCCATTTCATCCTATTGTGGGACTCCTCAGCAGAGATAGTAACTCACTTAAGATAATGATGGATGTGACGCTCAATTTCGTGGATTAGTTGAAGACATTAACACCTTTGAATGCCTGTCCAGTGGTTTAGCGGTTAAGCACTCGCACGTGAGACTGATGGGTCTTGGCTTTGAATCTCGCGAGGCGGGGTCGTGAATGCACACTGCTGAGGAATCCCACAATAGGAATATTTGGCCGTCCATTGCTTCCAGGTTTTCCTTGGTGGTCTAACTTCAATTGATTCATGATCTCAAGTATTGAAATTACTACAATCCCCACAAGACCTCTTCTGATATAATCATTATTTATTTACTGTGCTAATTATATAACAAGATATTTGAAAATTGACTTTTCTTCCATTTCAATAGTTAGTATGAATATTCTTTTATGGAATTACTAACTATTTGTAATTCGGTCAGACAATGTGAAACGATATTAAAGATGACCTTTCTAGATTAAAGTTGGTAATTATACTGAGTGACAAATATAAGATCATTAGAACATGACAATTAGTTAGATTTATAAATTTAAGAGAAATTAAAGTGCTCTGAACAATCGTGATACATCACTGACTGTTACAATATCTGAATTAATAATTTGGTTATTTATTAGAACTAATAAATGTTATTGGATGTTCTTTCTAAAAACTCTATTATCATTATTCTGTGTTAAAAATTCTTAATAATGTGCTTTGAAGTACCTGTAATCTTACAGATTATTGAATAGATTATTACGCAATCATTTATTACCGTTCGTAAAATCAAAATAATGTTTCAATAACTTAAACACTTGCCTATCATTTTCCCCAGTATTTATCATAGAATTAAGATGAGAATTTGGGGTGATTATTTGATCTAAAATTAGCGTTCAGCATGAACATGATACTAAATGATGAGCCATTAAAAATCATGGGTTATTGGACTAATGAAATTCTAGTTGCATTTAGACTGAGATGAATTTCACTTATGACACTAAGTGAGGATTGAACGATGTAATGGTAATCGGTCGGAGATTGGAAAAATATATCCGAGCTACTGGTCAAAAATGTATCGTTTTCCATTCTCAACCAGAAAGTCCTTGATTCAATCTTGAATGTTGTCGTGGATAAGAATTGTCAATAACTCCCGCACTATGACAAGATATTTTCTTAGCCTATCCACTAATTTCCGATGGTTCTGTGGGTGATGTCAGTTCATAAGGAAATCAAATATCTACTTTAGTTCCCCTATAAGCATAATTTAGTCAGTTTTTAAAAAATGTGTTTTGTTAGTAAAGTGGCAATTGTTTAATATATTTCATAATTTTAGATCTGTGGTTCATAGTGCAGTACGTAATTTAGCTATAGTTTATCAACGTCAAGGTCTACAATCTCATGCTAACTTATTGCTTGAGTGGCTTCAAATGGCAATTACTGATTGTAGACCACGTTTAAATCATACGTCTTCATTGGCCAGTTCACCGATAAAATGCACGCAATCAGTCCATGGTATCAACTCACATGTAAGTCTTATCGTTCTACGTAATAAATCATTTTTTTGATGAAATGTCAAGATATATACATCGTCATACAATTTAACTGTTTAATTAAAGCTTTTTCCTTGTATGTAAATGATAATGGTTATTCTATGTCTTATAAGCAATTCCTGTTGAATAAACATTCATGGTGTGAGGACGGCCCATGGGTGAACTCGAGGAATCTCTAAGAAGCTCAGAAAGAGCCGAAGGCATTCTATCCAATCATCTTTTGGAAGATCGTTCCAGAATCTCGACATATAGCTTCCCTATTGGACAAATGCTACAACCACTGTATACGGATTGGATGACTATAATGATGATTTCACTTTTACTAAAAACTGTAAATACCTGATAGTTATGTACCATATTTGACACTGTTCGGAATAGCATTCCTTCTCACTCGTCTTCTGTCTTCTCGCTCGCGACTTTTGAGGATTCTAGCGTTCGAGTGCTCAAGTTGTACGCGGTATATCAAGAATCTAAGCTCCAGATATGACACTTGATCTCCATAATATTCGGTAAAACGTTGGATTTTTAAATGCTTTTTCAAATTAACCTATATTAAATGAAAGAACCGTTAACTTATATTTAGATCAGTATGTTTCATTTTATCTAATAAATTCTGAGGATTTCCATTCTGAAGCAAAACAGGTTCCTTGTACTCCCTTATCTTCAATAGCACCTTAATTAAAATCAATGTGTGCTGAATATTACCTACAAATGATCTTGTTCTCTGTTAAGTCCATGTGTAAAGTATATGGTATTATTTGTTTCCATTAGAACTGTTTATTTTAATTTTAGTTATCAAGTTGTGTAAATAGTAGAATAACGACACTAATTGCTTTGATACTAGCGGTTGAAAATGGACAACAGTAAACCCTAGATCTGGGATTCGGGTTATTCAAAACTTTTCAACAATGTGTATCTGTGATTTTGAATTCGATTGGAGATCAAAGGTATATCTTGGTGATGATTTCCATATATTACGAAACCTCGGTTCAGGGTTTCCTGTCCACTGCCTTCAACCACCGCCTTACCATACCGTAGCATTTAGGAATGTCATGATACTTTCATAGGTATACTTCTACTTGGATTATTTTACCTAGTTATAAATACAAGCCGTTAATTTTTTGCTCACATGACCTCAGATTCAAAGTTTAGCTTACTGTGCTAACCAAAGATATGCAACCAGTTATCCTGACTTTTCTTTCCAATCTTCAAATATACTATAAACCGTAAAATGTTTCGTAAGTAATTAGTTATATTTTATAGTGAATTTGATCATATATTCACTCTTTTAAGATTGTATGATGTATACGTCGATGCTTAAAATGTAAATTACCCCTAACGAAGTATGAAAATAACCAGCCGAAATAGAAGAAATGAAATAAACACTGGAGAAAAGATTTATGATTTTTTTAATCACTAGGATGAAATAAGTTACTTAATCGTTAACATTTACATTCCTTCCAATATAACAGGGTTCTTGAAATTATTATTAGTAAAATTTTGTTAAAAGAAGACACTCAGTACTCTAATGTAATGATAAAGTAATCAATAATTAAAATATATTTTAACAGTTGAATTCATGAGTCGATCTAAGCTAGACCACCTTTGAATACCTGGAAGAATCACTGAAACATTTACTGTCTCAGCATAAATTTACTACCTATGATCTGTAACATATTCGAATCATTGAAACAGTAACACAGAATTCAATTACACATGCTCACAAAGTCTTCATTGATTCTTTCAACTAATTCCCACTAAGCGAAAAGACTTATATAGTTTTTTCTTTAAAGCTTTATCTAGTAATGATACAGTGTAAATTGTTTGAGTTTGTATGGAAGAATTTTGTAATGATTTTTACTATTCGAAATATTAACTGGTTGGTTTTATACATAGGGAACATTACATTTCTCAATGTGAGTGTGTAAAATATCCTAAATCATCGCAATAATTAATAATTATCTTCTTGGATTTCTTTATTTCTGTTATTCCAACAAAAAGAAATACCATCTTTCAGTGTCATTTAGTTCTCTCCTTTTAGATTTACACATTTGTATGCATATCGATTCTATGTGTATGCTAGCACTCTTAGAATAAAACTAACTGGAAACAATAAATAATGTTTCTTTTTGTTAACTTATGAGGCGGTACACTTTTTCTTTTTCTTTTGCAATGTATTTATAAACGACAAGCCTTACCAACCTCCTTCTTTCTCTCTCTCTCTCACACACACTAGGTTTAACTAAAATTTCGTTTACTTATTTTTATGCATTTTATTGATATTCTTGTTCACAAAGTAGGAGATAACTAACTAACTACCAACTTATTTGCCTATCTGTCCACATGTATATAATGTACAGTTGTATCGTTTTGGTTGTTGTTTATTTGTAGACACACAAAAAAGTCATATTATTTCTACTTCTTTAGTTCTGTTTTTTTTCAAAACGTCCACCTGGTTGTTGTTGTCTTTTATTGAATAAAAACCTTAGAATTTATGTAGTTTAGCAAAAGTTGTTTATGTTCAATCGTCTTATTGTCTATAAACTTATTCATCTCCTTTTTCATACATAAATGATGTGTTTAAGTCAGATAAACACACTCAATTACTTCACTCCCTATCGTTAGTTTAGGTGTGAATTAGTTGAGCTTGTCTATCACTTCATTTACCTTGTAAGATTCACTATTTTTGATCAACTGATATCTGACGAGATCCCTAGCATTAATCCAGGAAACTTAATTGGCTTTGCCAACTTGCGTCTCCATCTGTCAACTAAAAAAACCCAATTTTCTGCACATCAGTTCGCTTCTTTCTACTTAATGACTTTGAGACGAGACCTCCATAATAAGGGATATTCGTAGGTGGTCACGATTTCATTATAGGTTTCTTTGAAACATTCCTCGCATATTTTGGGTTCGTTGAGATGACAATTCTGAGGTTAAAAGCAGAGTACTAGGTAAGAATGGCGAATCGGTTGACGAGGTATTGAGCCATTATTGACTGAAATGGTCAGTGTATGTACTAAGTATGGCTATCCTTTGATTGTCTCGGTTCACTATGATGACTGATATCTTAGTAGGTTGGAAAAAAGCTCGGGGAGGCCAAACCAAGATATAGAATCAGTCCATGAATACGCTGTTGGACTGACGCATTTAAGTTGATGCAGACCACCTGATTGAGGTTCACGTAATTACCTTAACCATTGGTTAAAGATTTTAGGTGACGTGGCTCGAAATCGCTCGCAATTACTCAGATGCATTTCTTCTTTGTTTTCCCCTAGATCCCAAGTTTTTAAATTACTCTATAATCTTCCTATTTCACGAATCCACATTTTCTTATGCAATTGCATCTTGGATGCTTAACCTTTTCCACTACCACTAGCATTCTTACTACCTGTCCGGAAAATTTCATCTCTCTATACTAATTAGGAGTGGTAAATTGAACCGATGTACACATATGTCAGGTTCTTATTTAATTGATTTGTCGGTTTGTCATTGGATAATGTTGGGACATTGCTTTAATATGGCTGTCGCTTTTGTTTGTGTGTGATCTCTATATGGTCATATATTTTCCTTCCATGGTATAAGCAACAGACAAGTGACGACCGCCCACATTTGACAAAACGCGAGATCATATATTTTTCTTATCTATCGATTTTCTCCATATTTTATCATTTATTTATTGATATTGTTTTCGTCCCGTTCTAATGTGATAATCTGTTGTGTTTTTTTTAAACTAAACATTATCAACTTTGTGCACAATATATGGTTGTATGAAATAGGTAGCTGTATGTCACCAAACTTAATTAAATTGATAAATCGAATGTATATGTGCGTGTATGATTTTGCACAAATAATCGTCCGTACTCAGCTTTAAACAATACACTTTTTTGTTTAAAGGCTAATGATTCTTGAGATGGTAGTAGTCGGAGTTATGTTTTCTGCGAATTTGTGGCTTAGTGTTTGAAATTTAAGCGGATATCTGAATAATACCAAGTTTTTCTTGTATTCAGATCGATTGCACAGTATGGGACACATTTCAGTCGAAGTTAAAAATTTGTATTAAGCATGATATATGACTATTTATTTATAGACAACTTAGACTACGTAACAATTTGGTTTGTTGTTTTACTGTTAGAAAATATAGTCACTGAAAATGAGGACTTGCCTATATTGCTTACAAACAATCATTTATAAGATTCTAATTGGTTTATTAATAATTTAACTCATGGAAGAAATCAAATTAATATGAAATCTATTGAACCTTATTAATGTTATATTTAATAAATAGAACGTTATTATGAAAAATAAAATATTTACTCATCAACCAACTGTATTTTCTAATATCTTCAACTAAAAACGTATTCTAGTTCAGGGATATTGACAAATGTGCTTATTCGGACATTCTACATTGTCTGATCATTAATTAATGAACAATATCATATTTTTCTTTGTCCTTAATACTGACACAATCAGTTGGCGATTCGTGTCCATCAGAATGGGATGTGCTTTGCGAATTCAAAGTGCCGAGTACTTTTACAAAACTGAAAAGACCCTGAACCTTCACTCCCCATCTGTAGTAAGCGTATAAAACTAGTCGAGAAGTTCGTGTATCTGGGTAGCTGCATAAGTGCTGGTGGTGGCGTGAGTGAAGAGATCAATTCGTATATAGTAAAAGCCAGGGTGGCTATTTTGGGCGACTTCATGATATTAGTCTGGCTGTAAAAGGTTGGATATACAGCTCGTCAGTGAGAGCAGTCTTGCTCTATACTTGTGAAACCTGACCTCTCTAAGTTGAGGATGTTAGACGACTCTCTGTGTTTGATCATCGGTGTCTCCGAAGGATTGCTGACATCCAGTGGTAACACCATGTTAGTAATGCAGAGGTTCGGCATCGTGTGTTCGGGCGCAGGGACGATAATGCAATTGGTGTCCCTATCTTGAAACATCGACTTCGGTGGCTTGGACATGTTCTACGA